TCCATGAAAGGAGAAATTGCAGAATATGGGACGGGTTATTTATTCCAGGCATTGTTTCTCTATGCAGTTATTTATCTATTATTCTTTTATTACTATTTAAATTTTCATTCTGGGGGGTAGTTTCCTCTTTTTTACCGTTCCTGATCTGTCTTTCCCACAAACGTGAAGATGCACGATGGCATCTAAGAAATATATCTACAGATATATCTTATAGACCTATAGCTATAGATAAATAGATACCGCCTTTCGTCTTTCGGAGCCTGTCCACTATTCTTCTTCCTTTTTCCCAGAGAGATGATGGACGTGGTCCATTGTGTCGAGAGGGAAATACTAAACTGAGAAATTCGGTGTGTCGCCCACTTGATGAATCGTTGTTTCGTTATTGGATCTGCCTGATTGACCTGTTCTCACCTTGAGAACATTTCTAAACCGACAAGGAAATATGCAAACCGGCAGCAATTAGGCACTTGATAAAGTCTGTTTCACACTTACAGATAGTGTAGGCTGTGCAGCTGTACTTGTCTTCTGCTGCTGCCCTACAGTGCTTTGCTGAAAAGGTGTCCTACTAACATGGAGACTCCAGGATTAGATGACTACTTTGCTACGAAGTATCAATGTTTTACACTGTAGTTTCAGGGAAATCGAAAATCAAGTTCTTGCCGCCTGTGGTAATGAGTCTGACAGCTCTGCTCCTCTGTGTGTGTGTGTGTGTGAGAGAGAGAGAGAATTGCTGTGAGAAATGTAATTTTTCTAGTTGTATGTGCTTGTAAGATGGTGATTTAGAGTTTCATCCTGGTTGTATTGAGCTTTTCCCAGCTTTTACCGGCCATCAAATGCTACTAATGGCACTTGCTGATATGAAGTAACTGTTGATCTTTTGTCGGTATCAAAATTACTGGGAATGTAGGGGAAAGTGAGGGCATTTTTGTGTGGAATTTCTGCATTTAGAGCTTGTTCTTTGAAGCATGTGCAGGGAATCGACTCCTTTCATGCAGTGTCATGGCTGATCCAGCTTTCCTTGTCAATGGTAGCTCTTGGGCATAGATGTCAACATTGAGTTACCAGTTACAGAGTCACATATGTGCCCAATGGCCCAGGTGCTGAAGGTGAATGATGGTGTCTCTGAGCTGATACTGACAACCGAGTCTTTAACATATCACTTATGCTCTTTAGAACATTTCAGGTTTCCTCAGACGAGTTTGATGAGTAGAGTAGTCCCTGTGCATGCTTATGGGTTGGGATCCTTCTTCTCCCAAGAATTTTTGTGGGAAACATTTCTTTCCGTGATGTCTGTGTGCCAAGTTAGCTTCCTTGTTGTGTGATGTTTGAGCACGCTGAAGCATTCTGTCTGCACAGAGACAGGGCAGCTGGAAGAGTTCGCTGTGGTGTTGTTTGAAATGTCTAAAAGGTAGGTGTAAATGTTGCCTTTCTCGTAGTTTTAATATGAGCCCCATAGTTTTGGTCCAGTGCCTTTTCCTTCTCTCATTGTCCAAAGAAATGCCTTTGAGAACTGTGGTTGTGGTCTGAGTTGTGAACTCCTCTGTGATCCTCCCGTGTACTTTTTGCCAACTGGATGCTTTTCTTGTGTACCTACTACAAATGACTTAATCTGAAATGCTCAGCTATGATTCCTTCACTTCTGTGGGTTTCACATTCCTTCCTTGTTTCTTCTCATGTTCTAAGAGTGGGCATCTGTTTCCTGATAGTCCATAAAAGTAGAGATTTGTTCAAATTATCATGTTGGGGGAGCAGTTTCATGCCTACCTTGAAGGGGTTGTGCTGCCAGGACAAAGACTGGTGGCTGATGCACCGACAAGAGTTGGATACGTGCCGTGGTGCAACTAAAGGCTGTGAATGGAGAGAGAGGAGGGTGAGGTATTGGCTTCTGACCGTGAACATAGGTGGGCCAGTGTGGATTTGACTGCAGAATGATTTGAAATGATGCCCGGTGCCAAGGCCTGTGCCATTTCTGTTATGCTCCCTAGCTTTGCTGTCCATAATGGCAATGGTAACACTCTGATAATCAAGCATTTGAGGTGTGCACGTAGCACAATGATGCCTGGGTAGAACACCTTCTAACTCCTGTGTGAAACCATCTTTATCCATCCCTATGTCCCTGGCACGTTGCAATGTGGCGTTTCTTCACAGTTACACTTTCTTTGGGGCCTTTGTTTCTTGCTTCACTTTCTCCCTTTCTGGAAAATGCTATTGCATTTGGAACCATGAGTGTTGTTTTAGGTCAAATGCTTATTTCAACCACTTAAATCTATTTCTTACTTGGTAGGAAAGTGAAGGAAAAGCTAAACCAGCTTCTCTTGTTTTTGTCTTAGGTTGAGAAGGAGGTTCATGACAATGTGTTTTCACGTGCAGCTTTTTATTTGTAGGAGATGAAAGGCCAGAGCATAGAAGAGGTGAGAGTTGATGAATATGTCTTACAAGGGACACCCTATTAGGTAGTGCAGAATAAGGCCTTAATGTCTCATCTCTTTGAGATGATAGAAGAGGGGAGGAGGTTCCACCTAAGTCACTAGTTTGGTGGCCCACCGACACTTGGATGTGAAGCGCAGAAACAAACTTTACAGCTCACAAAGAGTTATAAAGCAGGTAAGTTTCTTGCGGCTCTGGGTGCAAGGGGGATCTCTCCTCCTAGCTCGCACACCAACAGCACACTCTGCCAAACATTTCTGCAGTGCAGGTATACATATTCACTGTATGATGCAACACAAACATACTTATGCATAAGTGCGGTGGGGTTAGTTTGGGCAGTCTCAGATGTGTCTCTGGTGGTCGTTTACTTCTCCAGGGGTCTTATCTTCCTCTTTCTCTTTTGTCCTTTAGATGAACTTTAGCCATCCACGCATGCTCCATTCATACTTGTTGATCTCAGAAGCCTTTTAACCAGTTTTAAGGTCAAGCTGACACGATTATTACTGTTACCTCCCTCTGTGTCTAACACTCAGTAAGTGTGGCACCTGGTCCCTTCAGTTCTGTATGAAGAGATGAGGGGTTAGTGACGGAAGGTGTGCAGGGTGTCCCCAACACGGTCACCCAAAACATGCTGGCCCCTGAGTGGAGAGAGATGGGTTTGATGGGTGGCCTGGGAGCTGGATGAGGAACTGGCTGGATGGCCGCGTCCAAAGAGTTCTAGTCCATGGCTCAGTGTCCAAGTGGAAACAAGTGCTGTGTCCCTCAAGCATCTGTACTCGGAGCAGTGCTCTTGAATGCAGATAAGTGATATCGTCACCAGTGAGAGAGACAGTGGGAACAAGGCACCTTCTGATAAGCCGTGGATGCCCCATCACGGTAAGTGTTGAAGGAGAGAGGGGACAGGGCTTTGAGCACGTTGAGCTGGGGAAGGATGTCCCTGCCTATGGTACGGGGGCTGGGTGGTGGTGGGCTATGACACCTTTATGGTATCTTCCAACAAATATCATTCTTTGGTTCTATGGAAGAGGTGACCTGGCTCTGGGCTTTGCCGTTATCAAGCCCTCATGTATGAAGGCACAGAAGGACGGGGCTTCTGTTTATCAGAAACACATTCATAAAGGCTGCTCTGCTATCTGCTCATAGACACATTGCCTTTGATGTGAACTATTTGTCCGTGTGATCGTTCTTCTCCCTACAAGAAAAATCAACAGTGGGACCAACGCCAGAGACTTCCATGAGCAAAAGGAGGCAATGCACAGAAACCCATTTCAGTTAGAGTTCCATCTTGATTACATTAACAGCAGCTGAGCTGCTTCCATTCCTGCTCTGCCACGACTGTTTGCCTGCGGTTCAGGGAGGTGAGGAACAAGTCCCCGGCAGCCGATCGCGGCTTTCCCCGCACCCGGTCCCTCAGCCACCTGATCGGTTGTTATTGCATCTGCCTGATGGTTTACCTGCAGAGGCTGTTCCCACCTTGGATGAATACAAATGTGTATAAACTCTACAAACTCTAAAATTCTGTGGACAATCAAAAAGGAAAATCACACGTGACAGTCCTTCACCTTTGCTTTTTCATCCATGATTATCTGTATCTACGGAAGCACCAATAAACGGCAGCCAGCAGTGGCAGCCGTAGTGCGAGGGGTTAACTTGGTGTGGATGGGAAGTGCTGATCCTGCCTCCCTGAGGGAAGGAGCAGAATCGGGAAGGCCCATCCCTCTGAGAACAGATCTAAACAGATAAAGAAATATGCAAATCGGCAGCAATTCGGCACTTAACAAAGTCCACCACAAGGAAGAGATGAATACTTTCCTGCCAATCATCAATGTTTTACACTGTAATTTCAGGGGGAAAGAAAGTGAAGTTCTTGATGCCTGTGGTGATGAGCCTGTTAACTCTGCTCCTGTGTGTTTGCGTGTGTGTGTCTGAATATCACGTTTTATACTGAAAAGCCTCTTTTCCTGCCGTTCTACAAGCCATTCCAGCAAATCTACTTCAAAAATCCGCTCTGGGGAATGTGTCAGAAACTCGTAATATTCGAGACGTCATAGTAAATAATAATAGTAATAATTAAAAAAAAAAAAGTATTTTCCGTGAGCTATCTGTCCATTGGAAGCGATTCTTCCCGTGCTCCACAAGTAGCAGACATCGCTGACGAAGAGAAGGGCGCCGAGGAGAAAAGCCCGCGCAGGAAATCCCGGGTGTCCGTTGGAGGGCGGATCTTCATCGCTGCTGGTTCTGTGGGCCGGGGCGGGGGGAATGAAGGCGGCTGGAGGGCGCGCTTTGGATGTGCAGAGAGGGAGAGGGCAAAGCCGTGCGCCCGGACTGCTCCCCGAAGCTGTGCGAGTGGCGGAGGAGGTTGTGCTGCGGGGGCTTCCCGAGGGGCTTCGAGTCGTCGCACTGGACGCGTCGGATCGGAGACGACCTTCGTGGGCGCTGCGAGTCGGTTTGTCGGCGCGGCAGAGAGCCCACGGTCACGGGAGGGCTGTGCCTCGGCGGTGTCCGGTCTCGGTCGGAGGAGGAAGGAGGAGCTCGGGGGGCGAAGCGGCCGCGGCGGAGCTGAGCGGCGGGCGGGCAGCGCCGCGTCCGTGGCGCCGGGGCCGTCCCCGCGAGCTGTCCGTGGGCAGGGCAGGGCAGGGCAGGGCGGGCAGCGCTCGGCAGCGCTCGGTGCCTGCAGTGCCGGGAGGAGGCTGCGGGCGCCGCTGTTGCCCGAGGAGGAGCGAGAGGAAGGCCGGAGCGCTGCAGGCAGCCCCGCCCGCTGCGGCCCGGCTCGCTCGCTCGCTCGCTGGCTGGCTCGGCGGCCGGGCGGTCTGCGAGCGTCCCCGCGGTGCGGAGCCGTGCTGCAGCGAGGCGGAGGGGCCGGCGGCAGCGGCCGGGAGCGGCGAGCCGGGGCCGGAGCGGCGAGTGGGAGCCGGAGCCGGGGCCGCGGCGGAGATGTGCGCGGCGGGGAGGCGCCGGGGCCGGCGGGAGCGAGCCCTGCTGTGGTGCGTGCTGGTGGCGGCGTGGGAGGCGGCGTGGGGGCAGCTGCGCTACTCGCTGCCCGAGGAGATGCCGAAGGGCTCGTTCGTGGGCGACGTGGCCGCGGACCTGGGGCTGCAGCTGCCGGCGCTCGGCCCCCGCGGCGTCAGCCTTGTCTCGGCAGGTAGGACGCCGTATTTCGCCCTGCACGGGAAGACGGGCCATTTGGTGACGGCGCAGAGGATAGACAGAGAGCAGCTGTGCCGGCTGCAGGAGAGATGCGTGTTGCGCTGCGAGGTGATCGCGGAGGGGGAAATGCACGTTTACGGAATCGAAGTGGAGATCACGGATATTAACGACAACGCGCCCAGCTTCAAAGAAATTGAACTAGAGGAGAAAATAAGTGAGACGACAGCGCCAGGGTCGCGGTTCCCCCTCCGGGTCGCGCACGACCCGGACTCGGGGCCGAATTCGGTGCGGAGCTACGAGCTGAGCGGCGACGAGCACTTCTCGCTGGCCGTGCGGGCGGGCCCCGGCGGGGAGCAGCGTCCCGAGCTGGTGCTGGCGAAGGCGCTGGACCGGGAGGAGGCGGCGTTTCACGAGCTGGTGCTGAGGGCGAGCGACGGCGGCGAGCCGGCACGGACGGGCACGGCGCGGATCCGCGTGGCGGTGCTGGACGCGAACGACAACGCGCCCGTGTTCGGGCAGGCGGAGTACACGGCGCGTGTGCCCGAGGACGTGCCCGTGGGCTCCACCCTCCTCACAGTCACGGCCACCGACGCCGACGAGGGGACCAACGGGCACGTTGAATACACTTTCCATAAAATTTCAGAACATGCTTCGGGACTTTTTAATATCGACTCTGAGACAGGAGAAATATCCCTTAAGTCCGATTTAGATTTTGAGGAAATTTCCTCGCATGAATTGGAGGTGCAGGCACGAGACGACGGCGACATTTCCGACACAGCGAAAGTGGCGATCACGGTGACAGACGTGAACGATAACGCGCCCGAGATTTCGGTGCGGTCGGCGCTGGGCGAGATCTCGGAGGACGCCCCGTCGGGGACGGTGGTGGCCCTGCTGCACGTGCAGGACCGGGACTCGGGGCCGAACGGCGAGGTGCGGTGCTCGCTGGGCGGGGGCGTCCCGTTCCGGCTGCAGAGCTCGCAGGGCAGCTACTACCGCGTGGTGACGGCGAGGGAGCTGGACCGGGAGGAGGTGTCGGAGTACAACGTGACGGTGCGGGCGGCGGACGGCGGGTCGCCGGCGCTGTGGAGCAGCGCGGTGCTGGCGCTGCGCGTGCTGGACGTGAACGACAACGCGCCGGTGTTCGCGGAGGCGCGCTACAGCGCCCGGCTGCCCGAGAACAACGCGGCGGGCGCGCTGGTGCTGACGGTGCGGGCGGCGGACGCGGACTGGGGGCAGAACGCGCGCGTGCGGTACCGGCTGGCGGAGGGGCGGGTGCGGGGCGCGCCGCTGTCGTCGTACGTGTCGGTGCAGGCGGAGACGGGCGCGCTGTACGCGCTGCGCTCCTTCGACTACGAGGAGGTGCGCGAGGTGGGGCTGTGGGTGCGGGCGGAGGACGGCGGCGCGCCGGCGCTGAGCAGCAACGTGTCGGTGCGGCTCGTGATCGTGGACGAGAACGACAACGCGCCGCAGGTGCTGTACCCGCCGCCGGCGCCGGTGCCGGTGCCTGGCGTGGGCGCGGGCGCGGTCGCGGTCTGGGCGGGCGTGGAGCTGGCGCCGCGCTCGGCGGAGCCCGGGGCGCTGGTGGCCAAGGTGGTGGCGGTGGACGCGGACGCGGGTCAGAACGCGTGGCTGTCGTACGAGCTGGCCAAGGCGACGGAGCCGGGGCTGTTCCGCGTGGGGCTGCACAGCGGCGAGGTGCGCACGGCGCGCTTCCCGCTGGCCCGCGACGCGGCGCGGCAGAGCCTGGTGGTGGTGGTGAAGGACCACGGGCGGCCGGCGCTGTCGGCCACGGCCACGCTGACGGTGGTGCTGGCCGAGAGCGTGGCCGAGCTGCTGTCGGAGCTGGGCAGCGCGGCGGCGGCGCCGGGCGAGCCGGCCGGCAGCCTGACGCGGTGGCTGGTGGTGGCCGTGGCGGCCGTGTCCTGCCTCTTCCTCGCCTTCCTGCTGCTGCTGCTGGCGCTGCGCCTGCGGCGCTGGCGCCGCTCGCAGCTGCTGGCGGCGGGCAGCGGCGCCTTGCGCGGCGTGCCGGCCTCGCACTTCGTGGGCATCGACGGCGTCCGCGCCTTCCTGCACTCCTACTCGCACGAGGTGTCGCTCACGGCCGACTCGCGCAAGAGCCAGCTCCGCTTGTCGGGCGGCAGCTGCTGCGACACCCTCCCGGCCCGGCCGCCGCCCGACGAGCCCGCGCCGCTGCTCGGGGAGGACCCCGCCGCTGCCCCGGTGAGTTCCTCCTGCCAGCCCCACTTGCTGCGCGACCTCTCCCCGCGCTGCTCTGCTCTGCCCCTTCCGTGCCGAGTCGTGGCGCCTGCCGCGGGAGGGGGAGGTCCGAGCAAGGCAGCGGCTCCCGCAGCAGCCGGCGCCGTGTGCCGGTGCCACTTGCCCGCGGGAGGCGACCGCGGGGTTGCGGCTCAGCGCCCCAGCGGGAGAAGGGGGGAGTGGCCGCGAGAGTCTGCGGGTGGCTGCGTGGGAGGGGCACTGCGGGAAACGGGAGGTCTGTCTTGCTGGTTCCCGATCCCTTAAGGCCGACTTAGCGAAAAGGGAGCTGGGCGTGCCTTGGCTTGACACTCCCTGCTACGGCAAGAGCCGTCTGAGGGCGGGCGGGGAGAGAGTGGGAGGGAGACGTAATTCCCCCAGTGAAGGTGGTCAACGGCCCCAGTTTCTCCCTGGGGAGCGCTCCTCTTTTACTTTTAGCCCCTTGCTGTTTCTTCTCAGAAGACTGGTGAGCCGACAAATGCATCTTCCTCCTCAGTACAGAGCTGTAAGGATATCGATGTGGAGTGCATGGCGTGCCAAAGAAGTTCCTCCTGAGCCATGTTATTGTAGCTCTGCTGGGTTCCCAGGGAGGTTCTTTTCGTGTGCTTTCAGGTTGTTGATTTGTTACGAACACCTTAAGTTTGACAAGTGACATAAAGAGAGGTTTGGGAATAGCAAAGTGTGTATCTCTATCCTACTACAGACTTTAATTACGAACGTACTCCAAATGCCATCATCAAACTGAGTATGTTGTGTTCCTTTACCTTTTTTTAGAGGTTAACCTCTTAGCTTGCACATTGTGATGAGGTAAAGATGGGCCACTGTCTCTGGGGGTGTGTGGAAGTTCACATCTGTTACACTTCTCTGACTGTCCCGTACGTTACTTTCATGTTTAGAGCTGTGCGGAGAAAGACTTTCCTAGGCACTTTTCCTTAAAATATAAGCTGATACAATTCTCTTCCTTGTCACACATGCATGGGGAGAAGTCAAATATGCTCTTCAGTAGGATATATTGTTTCTGTGAATTTTCTTTGGGTGGAGTCTCTCTGCAAATGATGATGATCAATGACAACTGTGTGAGCTGTGAGGAGTTTGCGGACAGTCTCTGGAGTGCTGTATGTAAGGAGGTACTCGTGGAGACTAGGCCTGTCTTTTGATAATTACCAGGGTTTATTGAAGGACTACAAGCAGTGAATCTGAAGGTTTCTTAGTTCTTGCCAACACGCTTCTCCAGTACTCTCCAAGTAACTAAGTTGTTGGTTCATCAGTTTTTCAGTTATTAAGCATAGACGTACACTTTAGATTAAATTTTAAGAGTCGTGTATCTTCCAAGTTGCTCATATGCTGAGGATGAATGATATGATATTTGAGTGGATACTTTGATGGCCGAGTCTTAATCAGAGCTGTCTATTGCTTATGCACTTGAGAACATTTTACCTGTGTTTGAATTGGCGTGATGAGCAGAGAAATCTCTTTGTATGTGTCCATGTTGTGATTCTTGTTCTCAGAGGAGGAGAACTGTGTGTGCAAGTTTTCCTTCAGTGGTGTCTCTCTGTGCAGGTTGCTGTCCTGTTGCATGATGTTTTAGCAGGCTGAAAAATTCTGTCTCTAGATAAAGAGGGTAGGTGTAAATTTTTGCTGTGGTATAATGTGAGATGTCTAAAAGATGTAAGGGTCTTGTAAATATTCCTTTTGTCCTAGTTGTGAAATGAGGCCCAGAGTTCATTTCCATCCATTATTGATTTTTAACCATGCAAAGACTTTATATTGAAGAACAGTGGGTATGGTCGTTGCTGTGAGCTGCTGTGTGAGCATCCTCTGGACTTCTTACCAACAACATAACTTTCTTGTGTAGTTAATAGAGTTCCCATAATGTGAAATGTTAAGCTCTGATTCCTTCACTTCTGTAGGTTTCCCATTCTTTCCTTGCCTGTTGTCCAGGCCTATATCTGGGCATCACTGTGCCTGATAACCCCAAGACATTAAAAGATCCCTTCTAATTCTTAGGCAGAGGAGCAGTTTCCATCCCGACCTTGACAGTGTTCAGCTGGCAAGACAAAGACTTTGCTAGCCTCTGTTAAAGGAGACTCGAACTCCGTCATGGGTTACTCTAGGATTTTATTCAGGTCCAGCAGCATTGGGTCACCTCCGCAGAGAGTGACAGCTTACATGAGTTCGCATACATGTATTTATGCACCTACAAAGCATTACCTAATCCAGAATACACAGAATTATACTTTATCAGTCATTATTATCTTGACAGTGGGTTTCACATCTTGTTCTGGAGTCCGACCACTTCGTTGTTTGTTTCTTCTTTCTTTTAGTCTTCAAGGGAGATTACCTCAAGTTCTGTACGTCTCAGTTCTTAGTAGTCACAATGATAGATCTCCCATTGCTTCGGTAGCTAAGGGCCAGTTTCTCATACATCAACATCCTTTGAACTGTCAGGCACATCATTACCTTTGTTACAACATTTTATTAATGCTCTATTCAGTTGACTGCGCATTGCAGCCCTGGGCTGGGGCTATACAGGGGACAGAGCTGATGGAACAGCTTGTGCAGCAGCACTGCATTGCAACATTTTCCCAACAGTCCCCCCTTTTCTTTTAGGATACTCACTATCCTATCGGATTACAATAGGGTCTGGTGGGAATACGAGATAAAACACGAGACACAACACTGACATACAAACATTACCATGATCAAAATGATTATGACTAAAACAACTACCATTAGAATCTTCTTGATTAAAGTTGGAACATCAGGAATCCAGGAAGTAGCCCATTGCCATAAATCACTAACATCCCAGGATACATTGTCTCGTTGCACAACTTGCATCATATGGCTTACTTCCTATTTTGGCAACATCTTATTCTTTCGTTTAAATGTTTTTACCAGCACTTCATCTCCCACCGTTATAATCATGAACCTGTACTTCTGGTGTCACACCTTGGTACCAATATGCATATTTTCTAATTTTCTGAAAGGAATCTTGTAAATATAATAAATATTGAGTAACATTCTCATCTCCATCCAGTAGTGCAGTTTTTGCTGAAATATACGAACCAGGTACAGCTAAAATTCGTCCAAATAGGACCTCTGCTGGGCTAATTCCTAACGGCTGCTTTGGAGTAGTTCTAAGATCCCATAATACTAAATTTAATGCCTCTGGCCACTTTAATTCAGTTTCACTGCATACTTTTCGCTAATTTCTCCTTAATTGTTCTATTCATTCTTTCTACTTGCCCTGATGAAGGTGGGTGATACGGAGTATGAAACTGTCCTTTGATGTCTAGGGTTACATAAACTTGTAATAAAATAGATGCTGTAAAATGCGGTCCACGGTCAGAGTCTATCACCTCAGGTACGCCATATCGAGGAATGATTTCCTTAAGCAAGATTTTTACAACTATTTTTGAATCATTCTTCCGGGTCGGGAAAGCTTCTACCCACCCAGAGAGTTGATCTACTATTACCAGCAAGTATTTATATCCGAGAGCGGCTGGCATTTCCGCAAAGTCAATCTGAAGTTTCTGAAAAGGACAGACTGCTGGCGGACTCTTCCCTGGCGTTACTTTTGGCCTTATATCTCCATATCTCTTACACAAAGAGCATCCTTCAGTCAGTTTCTTAGCTGCTGAAAAGATTCCTGGTGCTGCCCATAGCTGCGTTACCTTTGAGGCTACTGCTTCGGGAACCTCCATGCCCCTTCTCATGGTACCAACGCGCAAGTGGCAGTACATACCTTCTGGGCAATAGAGGTTTACCATTCAGGGTCCAGGCCCCCTTATCCTTGCACAGCTTGCATCTTCTTCCACTTCTTCCATTTCGGTGGTCGGGACATCAGCGATAAAGGGTATCAGGGGTTTGGGATAGAAAAGAAATTAGCAACCACAACTTCAGTCAGTGGGGTAATTTCCAGTAGCGGCGGCTCGTGCTGCGGCATCTGCAAGAAAATTACCTGTCGCAAGCTGATCGGTGCGCTTCGTATGAGCAGGTACTATAAATTACCGCAACTTCCTTTGGCTCCTTGTATTGCCAACAACAAGTCATTAATCAAAGACCCATGTGCAATGGTTTCACCTGCAGATGTTAGAAAGCCTCTTTCTTTCCACAATGCACCGACTGCATGACAAATGCCATAGGCATACTTCGAGTCAGTGTAAATATTAACTCGTTTATTCTTAGCATACAATGCTGCTTTGGTTAGTGCTATCGATTCTGCAGCTTGAGCTCCTAATGTCGGTGGCAAGGGTTCAGCAATGAGAACAAACTTTTCAGTAGCTATTGCAAAGCCCGTAAGTCTCTTACCGTGAAGATAAAAGGAAGATCTGTCAGTAAAGAGATTCAAATCAGGGTGTTCCACCGGAGTGTCCCTCAAATCTTCTCTAGTCTTGCTTATGGTTTTCAAGACAGCTACACAGTCGTGTGATCTTTCAGGTTTCAGTCACTGGGAGTAAGGTAGCAGGGTTAAGAGTCTTTGATCTCTCAAGTTTGACATTCTCCATTAGCAAAAGGATAATTTCATATCTGTGTGTCCTTTGTGCAGAAAGTGCTTTTTCTGCATATTTAGTTAGTAAAAGTTCAACCTCATGGGGAACAGCAACTATGAGATAATGGCCTAGCACAATATTCCTTGCCTTTTCCACCAGTTCAGCAGCTGCGGCAATAGATCGCAGACAGTATGGAGATCCTCTGATAACTGGGTCCAAGGTGACAGAATAGTATGCTACAGGACGTTCATAGGGTCCATGATTCTGAATTAATACTCCCTTTGCAATTCCTCTGTTCTCTGTTACATATAATTTAAAAGGTTTTTTTGTAATCTGGTAACCCAAGAGCTGGAGCATTTACCAAGGCAGTCTTCATGGACATAAAAGCTGTTTCCAATTCTTCTGTCCATGGTATGGGTTCTGGGCTCACATCTTTAGTAGTCTCTACCAAAGGTTTTGCAATCTCTGAAAAACCCAGTATCCAGGGTCTACAATATCCAGCTTGTCCAAGAAAGGCTCTCATTTGTTTCTTAGTCAAAGGTCTAGCGATTTCCTGAATTGCTTGTACCCTATCTGGATCTAATTTCCTAGTACCTTCGGCTAGTATAAACCCTAAATATTTTACCTCAGGCTCACAAAACTGCAATTTGGAGAGAGATGCTTTATGTCCTTTCTCATATAATCTAAGACATACATATTTAGTATCTTTTACACAACTGTCATAATCTTTACTTGCAATTAACAAATCATCCACATATTGTATCAATTCTAACC